GGTGAGGGAGTTCTGGAAAGTTCCTGGAATTATAAATCTCTCCTGTATGCTCTGAAGCATCTCACTGATATTAATTCAAGGTCCTGTTATAGCACCTTCTTCATTTTAAACTATATAGTTTTCATATTTTATTGGTTGAGGAAAATCAGCTCCAATCAAAATATGTTGATTAATTATCCTCCCATTAAGTGCCACTGAAAGCAGCCAAATCAGTGATTCATCTCCTGCTGACCAGCACTGAGTCCCATCTCAAAATGAAAAAACAAAACTGCATGACTAGATGAGCAGGATCTTAGTAAGAGAGTCAAAGTGCATGCCAATCTGCCCGATTCCAACAGCTTTACAGTAATGATTAGTAAAACAGAACAGAAACTGTTGACTACATAGTTAGGACAAAGGAAAATGGCTGTACAGGCACCCTAACACTAACTGAGTGAATTTCCGAAACATTAACATCACAAAGTCAATCAGCCCTATAATGAGTTTGGATGTAGTGAAAAGAGAGTATGTCCCTGATCAGCGACACTGCAGTGCAGCAAGTATATTTAGTTAAAGTAATAAATAATTTTATAGTTTTCAACCAATGTTTTCATGTTTCAGGAACACTGTATATGCCTGTAACACTGTAACATGTGACTGTAGTCGCCTGCACTGGGTGTCTGCTGCTGTGCTCCGTATATATCGAGGATCATTCGTTTCATCAGATTCACATTTAGTTTGTGGGATTCACATGAATACAGAAAAACAAGAGACACAAGTATACACATTTGTGTTGGCAGCAAAGTAGAAATAGTTTCCCTTCCAAATAACTTCCATTCACTGAACTAACACAGCCAGTCCCTCAACATTTGAATGCTTTGTGCTCATATTTCTTTAATGCTACCTTTTAAATCTTGAAATACTAACTCAGCGGTCCCCAACCTTTTTTGCTCCACAGACCGGTTTAATGTCAGAGAACATTTTCACGGCCTTTAAGGAGTCGTTGATAAATACAACAAAATAAAATAAAAGGATGCAGCCAAGACAAAAACTGCTATTTTGTAAATATAATACTAAACATCAATTCACTGTGTAATTGTGTAACTTGCACCAACAACATCGAGAGTAACATCCTCCTCTCTGCCCCTAAATGCTCTCTGGACGCCATGGTAACGCGTAACTATTTCTTTCAAAATAAGACGCACAACCACAACATGAGAAAAGACCCGGGGAAACCGAGTTAACGATAAAAACCCTGAAAACCATCAATTTCACACCCGAGCCTCGACTCTCGCGGCCCAACAAATAAAACACGTTTACACCAGACACATGATAGCTGTGGAGGACCAGAAGAGTGCATCAAATTCATTTTTTAATCACTGTATTTATTTAAACATTAATATATTATTTAATCATTTCATTTAAACAAAAATTATATTTATATTTCAAAATGAATTTCATTAATAAATACTTCAAATTGAAAATGGATTTCACAAAAAAGAAATCTCAATAAAACCCTAATTTCAAGAAACATTTTTGAATTCTGAAAAACAAAACTTTTTAAAAATGCAATTTAGAAAAAGTAAAATAAGTTAATGAATTTAAAAAGATTTATTTCTTACATTTAAAATTTCACTCCTGATTTTAAAAACCATTTCCACACTGCATTTTCCTTTGCTGTTAGCTCCTGGATCAGTTTAGCTATTGCAGTTCTCATTTTGATGCTTCTGCATGGAAAGATGATGCAAATTACATCTAATCCAAGCTCATTCACATCTGCTCATTACTGTTACATTTATACACACCGTTAGAGCAACGGCTGCAACCTACAGCCTTTAAACTCCTGATTAAAATGCTGACAGTAAACACATCAGTCCAGATGTTACCACAAAGCTTTTGATACTTTTGAGTAAAAAAAATTAAAACAGGATGATTACAATGATAACTGTCACTTTTGTCATTCCTTATACTGCTGCCCTTGGCCAAGGCAAAGACTAGAGATGACACTAACAGTGTGAGAGAGAGAGGGTGAGAGAAAGAGAGAGAGAG